ATAGCTAGTGGGGAAAATAAAGTGGTGCAATATAAATGGTTTGAATTGCACAAAGATTTAACGACTTTTTTTAAATTTTCTAATAAGCAATCAAGTTAAAATACTTGGTCATAAGATGTATTAAAATGCCTTTTGAGCAATTTTCATGTCTGCAGTCTTTTTCTGCATTTACCTTTTTGAACAAAGGTCAGCTCAGCGACGAGTGTAATTGTCATCGCCGGTAGAACACTAGAGAGGCAAACACTTTCACAAATCCAAGTGGAAGCTGTCGAAAAGGTGTTGAAATATTGCTGTAAGACAATGGGCCCATGGAGCTGCAGTACAAATGAGTGAAGGGCACTTGCAAGGCTTGCCTGCCTGCCCATTCACCACTTGCCATTCACCGGTAGAGAGAGAGAAAGAGAAAGAGAAAGGCCCGACTCACTTGGCAGTGCAGTGGACCAAGTGCCCGCTCAGCGGACGAATAGAAATGTAAACTGTCGAGGGCAAAACAAGTGACACTGCCCTGGCACACTAATAAGGCACCACTGGCTTTAGAGGTAGCCTGTTCAGTCGGCAAAATGTCTCTCTGACTCTGTCCTCTCTCCCTCGCTAGAACAGCGAAGGTACTCAAAAGTTTGTCTGTGGCTCTGTCTGCCCTCTGTTCTCCTCTCAGAGCCGCTGGGCCTCAGTGCGCCAGCCTTTGTCGCCAGCCCGAACGGTAACATTAATGGCGGTGGTAATTGAAGCCGAATTGGCATTCACTCGAGGTGACAGACTGTGAGCTCATACACACACAAAGTGAGACAGACTCTGCCATAATTTCTCCGAGCGTCATCTCTTTCACTACCAGTTTAGCTGTGGTGTAGCTTGGTCTTCCCTTCGCTAAAGCGGTCACACAAAGCGGTCATTATTTCGAGACACAAAAGTGTGCTAACGAAGAAATTCACACCTCGTGCACAAACACAGTTGTTGCCTTCTCACTACACTGCCGATTGTCAGGGCGAACAGGAGGACACGGGTTCACTGGGGCCTGGCTGCTCGGTTTCGGACAGAGACTGAACGACGGCAGCACAGACAGCACTCATATGCTGCTCACGGTCGCCTTCACCCGAACACAAACTCGGGACTCATGCTTTTGGTTGGGAACTTGTGCTTTGTGGTTTTCCAGTTTTTCACTTGACTCACTTTATTGGCTTGTTTCTAAAAATGAAACCAGGAGTTTTTATTTCAGGAAAACAACAAGAATAATTTGCTATATTAACAAAATAAAAAGATGATTATAAGTTAGGCCCAGCAAGTACAATTGATTAGGAACTTTTTTTACTTTTTATTCTTATATCTTGTTTAATCTGATCATCTTTTTGTTGACCAGTTGTTGCCAATCATCGATCTTCTCGGCAAATCATTTGTTGGGTAAACAGTGCCAAAAAAACGATGAATAAACAGTGAAGAATAATTAAAAGTCGATTAATCATAATTATTTAGGCCAGTAATTATCGATTAGCAAGTCAAAGTGGGAGTGCAACATACGAACAGTGGTTCACCAAACACAATTTTCTCTGACAAGAAAGTGGTTCGCTAAAAGAGCCTAGCCATGACCAATCTGTGGTGATTTATTTGTCGCCAGTGCACACTGGGTGCGTCTTCAAGCGATTCGTTCCATTCGACACAGTAGTTGACTGAGCACTTGACTGCCTCACTACTGAATGAGACTTTTTTTGGCAAGTTAATCAAGTCAATTGGCCACTTAGGAGAGTGTACTACTTCAGGCACTGCTGACAAACTTGATAGAGAGACACACAGCCGCGAAATGGAAGCGGAACAAATACTTGATTTAAAGAGCGTACCAAATTGAAGTGACTGCCGCGTTTGTTGCTGCTGTTGCGACGCACGGTAGCCATTTTTTGTACAATATTTGACAATCTGGTAAGCTGTAATGGCCATACTACTACAATTGAACAATTTGACACGTCATTTTGCAAATTAATTAGCTCCCTCCACACATGCGTTCACCTTTTACCTTTCTCTTTCCTTCCTTCAAATGTCTCATTCACAAAATGCTCCAATGAGCTGCTGACTGCTAGTTTACGCTTACAATTCAGACGGCAATGTCGTAAGTGGTTCAATACGAGACTAATCGGATTGCAGACTGATCGACTGATCTATCTAATAAAATGTATGCCATCAATTGAATCTACCTTTACAACCGTTCAGCCTAGTGAAGCATACTCTTGAAGTACCACCGTAAAATCAGAACACTCGATTCAAGATGAGTGGTCAATGAACTACTGAATGAATGAACAAATGAACGAATGAAGCAGTGACAATATGAGGCTGTTCAATTTCAATCGAAGCAGTTGTAGAAATGTGTGCTTTCCAAGACCATACAAATCACTGTCTGAAGTGGTGGTGTCACACTGGTAACTACAACTTCTTTCCGGCAAAGTGTGCCGACAAGCGTAGTGTCATTATACCGTCACATAGAGACCAATTATCATAATACGATTATCATAATCAGACCGTTAGCACACTGAAAGCAAATCTAATCGCTACTACTTTGTAAGCAGTGAGAAGCTTTGCAAAGCTGATCGGACCTAAGCACATAAATAATGCTTCAATAGCTGCTGCAGCAGAAGCTTCACATAGCCAGTGAAGGGCAGTGTCGCACACTGAATGTGCCTCGTGGAGGTCGGGAACGACTACGACTAGGTCCCGCATCAGTGAATAGCAGATGCCAGGATGGACTTGGAAACCCTATAACGGTGTCTGGGTCTCTCTACCAACTGAGAAGGTCAATGTAGAGAACGGAAAACGGTATCTTTATTTGGTAACAACTTTGGCAATGTGAACAAGAACTTTGCTAGGAACAACAACAAGTAAAAAGGTAACAGTTATTTTACAAAGGGCCCTTGAGCTGTGTGCTAGAGCCAAGAGTAGGCAAGAGCAGCGTAAGAGAGCGCCGGGTCGAGCGACAGTGGCATTGGAATCGGCGGCGGGCGTTGGTGCGTCTTGACGTGCTTCTTCAGGTGATCCTTTCGCCCGAATCGTTTATTGCAGACGGAGCAGGCAAAAGGCCGCAGTCCAGTGTGAATTCGCTTGTGGCGTGTCAACTCTTCATTACGAGTGAATGTCTTGCCGCAATTACCTTGGTCACACACAAACGGTCTCTCACCTAGGAAAAGGCAAAGCAGAGAAGAGAAACAGATCATCAATTAGCACTTGCTTTCTTGGGAATTGCAATTAGCCAACAACTGCCAACAAATTGACACCTACCTGTGTGTATTCGAATGTGTCCCTTCAGCTGGCCGTTATTGGAGAAGGACACCTGACAATGTGGACACTGAAAACGCTTCGGTCGCTGTTTTTTTGGCGTCCTCTCCAACAGCCCGTTTTGGTGGTGGTGATGTTGTTCGATGGCCAGCTTCTCTAGCTCAGCAACGTTTGGGTTGCCAGAAGAAAGCTGCAGTGCCACCTTATTTGAAGCAGTCATCAGCGTTTCTAGGTGATGATGATGGGACTGCTGATGACTGTGCTGGTGGTGGTGGTGGTGATGACCACTTGCGTGAAAGGTGGCTGCGGCGGCCGCGGCTGCTGCTGCATTGAAAGCATTGTAGGCGAATAGATTTGGAAAGGAGAATAGTTGCCCGTTGGAGGTAGGCACAGAGCCGGCCATGAAGTTGGCCATTGAATCAGGCACCAGTGGGGGAAGGGACATTGGCTGACATCGCTGACTTGCTGACTTTAGTGGATTGCTGCCGTTTAGATTGGCGCCAGGGTTTAGTGGTGGTGGTGATAGAGGGCCAAATTGCTTGCTGCCATTGGGAAAACAAGGTGCTGGTTGGTAGTGACCGGTACTGCTCATCAGCGAGAGTATGTTTGCTGGTGTTCGGTGGTGGCTTATTGCAAATGCTGCTGCAGCGGCTGCATTTGAAAATGGTAACGCCTCAGTGGATTTTAAAAACTGCTTTGTCGGCTTTTCTGGCGATGAGTAGATCATTTTGGATTGAGATGATGATAATTTTGATGAGTTGGGGCATTTAGAATTCTTCTCGGACAGTTCGGCTTTTTCAGCATTGCTCACTGTCATTTGAGTTTGATTTTGTCTGCAGTCCCATGGTCGAAAAAGAGGATTAGCAGCACTGTGGTCAATGGCAGAGTGACCATCGATGTGGCTTTGCTTCACCATGGTGTCCATTCTAGCCGTGATTATGATGATTATGATGATGATGATGATTTGTCGGCAGGTCAGGTCTGTGGTCTAGTGATCCGATTACACGAGTACTTGAGGCGCAAGACTTGAGTCTAAAGTGTCTCGCCACTGGCCATGTCACTAAATGAAGTAGTCGTAGTAGTAGTGGCCCTGTTCAGCTCCCTCTCGGGCACCTTTTAGTAGAGCAGACAAACGGAGAGTGGCCGAAGGCAATTGAGTGGCTGGTCCCCTCGAGTGGCACATTAAATACACACTCACTCACACTCGCTCACACAGCCCCGACAAAGCCCAGCGATGAGCCATTTCCTATACCACTTGAATCTCGCTCACTTCTCACCTTTGCCCATTGTCACCTCTCACGCAACGTGAACACACACACACTCGAGAACTGCTGGGCCCTCTCTTTCCTTCTCTTTCCCTCTCTCGGCCTGTCATTGAGCCCCGACCAGCGTGGCACAGTAGTGCACGCCGCCCGAGCCAATCGTGTTCCTCCTAAACGCCTCCATTGTGTTTGCCGGGCATTGATTTCACTGAAGCAGAGGCAGAGGCAAAGGGGGAGTAGGGGCCAGTTGGGCCCTCTCGCTCTCTCCCTCCTTCTCTCCTTCTCTCAGTCTATTTGTCAGTTTGTCGGCGCGCTAATTTCGCACCTTTCTCCTTGTCTTCTTCTCTTTCTCCCTCTTTCTCTCTCACCTGAAGTGTTGCCGCCAAATGCCGCGCACAGTTTATTAGACAGTTAATCGGTGGCAGACAGCCGCCGCGTCTATCCTTTACACTGTACACTACTTGGACATTTGCATACAAGTCTGTATTACAACTTTTTCTTCTCCGGTACGATAATCTGCACAAACTGACTGCCGCCATCGACGAGCAGTGTGACACCGGTGATGAAAGAGGCATCTTCACTAGCCAGGTAGGCGATTGCCTTTGCACAGTCTTCAGGATCTCCAATACGACGAAGCGGATAGGACAGTGCCGTCAGCTCCTCCATCTTTGCAGTGTCCATATCGCTGTTTTCGACTTTGTCAAAGATTGGCGTTCGAATGGCCGCTGGGCTGCAAGAATTGATAAAAAGTCAGAAGGTGAACCATTGGAAAGCACTTGGTCTTTATCCACTTACTTGATGGCATTTACACGCACACCCTGAGGGCCAAATTCAATGGCCAGACTTTGGGTGAACATGTCCAGACTGCTCTTGCTCATTGCGTAGATTGAGTTGGTCGGCGTCTATGTATTTGGGTGGGAAAGTGAAAGGAACAAATTCTCATCAGAGAGTTCTGTGCTCACATCTGGCGGAAAGCATTCTTACCGGTTTGGTGGATGCGATAGCTAGTAATAAAAGGTAAAAAATAAATTAGTTTCAACTAGTGGGCTTTTGTGGTCCAAAATATTTACATGACACATTGACAATGGCCCCTTTGCTAGCCAACAGATGCGGTATAGCCAACTTTGTGAGGACAAGCACGCTGCGCAAATTGACGCTAAAAATCTTCTCGTAGACGTCCATAAAGCGGCCCTCCTCGATGCTGCACACTTGATAAACTCCTGCATTGTTTACCAGAACATCCAGTTTATTGAAACGTTTGATTGTTTCATCAATTAGCTTCTTTAAATCAGCGTCTTTGCTGACGTCAGCCACCACTGTAAGGACATCAGTGGCGGCTCCAGCAGACGTTGATGCATCACGACATTTTTGGGCAACTGTTTTGAGACGAGCTACGTCGCGTCCGGTGATGATCACTCCTTGAGCTCCCAATGAGCAGAAGTGAATTGCAGTTGCCTCTCCAATTCCCGATGATGAGCCTAAAAATGAGGGAAAGTGTAAAGTTAATCAAACTGTCAATTCGAAGTTTGTTTTTGTGAAAAATGCAGTAAACACTTACCAGTAATGAGCACCACTTTTCCGCTAAAGTCCTTGCGAGAAGTCATCTTTAAGCGCGTCGAGGATGATTAACTATTTTTTGTTTAAACCAAACTCAACTATTTTAATGACTGATTTGTGCGGCTATCAGTGGTTAGTGATTGGCCGACAAAAATGATAAGAAATGGCAAGTATGACCGATACTGGGGTTTGATTTGTGTTTAGCGAACGAAACTCACACAGTTGTTGAACAGAGTGCGCAGACAGTGCAAGTGATGATGCGAGGCGAGTTATGCTCCTTACTGAACATCACTTTTGCTTTTAAGCATATAAATCAAGTTTAGTGCAAGCTTTAGGGTAGGTTCATTGTAGAGTCACCTTGAGGAGTTGTGGGGAACGTACTGAAACACAAACTGACTGTCAAGGCTACTACCGCCTACTCAGTGCTGTCTAATCGACTCATAAATGACAAGTTATGTCATTAATGCTGACGTTTATTGAAAAAGGTTGTGCTATTTCAGTATTTCACTGTCTAGGCAGTGTTTTCTTTTCCCTTTTCTGCTCAGTGCTCACTGCAGGAGAGAGATGCTAATGGTGAATGTGAAATAAACAACAAAACTAAAAAGTCAATAAACCAATCAAAATCACGATTCATATCACGATTACCCAAACAATATACAGTTTCGTTTTGAATTTGCACGCAGTTTATTGAAATTGAAAAAAAGAGAGAAATTGTGAATATGTGATACAACAAGGTTTGGGGTTAGTGAAAAGTTTTTGTTAAGTAACTGGGTGCTTACATAATTTGCTGCTGTCAGGTGTGAAAATGGCTGGCTGGAGAATAGTGTGAAATACAAGGGCAAACACAGTGTTCAAAGGATTCTAGTAAAAATAAAGTTGATGCTGATCAATGAGAAAGCTGATCAATGAAAGAGCTGTTTTGAAGGTTTTGGTGGCGGCATAAGTGTGCATATGTTTGTAGGGGTCTAAAATTGGCAAAATTCGGTGCAACATGTAAAGTGTGTGGTGTAAGTGTATGTGTGAGTATATCTGAAAATGGCTTCCAATGGTGTTCTCTTGCTTGCAATCATGTCCCCTTCCCTCTCAACGCTGATAATGTTCCTCAGTCACTGCTGTTGTTTTCCTCTGACCCTGAAATGAGCAGTGAGCCAGCGAAAACAGGTTGCTCACCGGCAATGAGTGATCCAATCCAGGGCGCCTCCAGTGACATGGTGCCTTCTTCAGACATCACCGGACCAACCACCTCACCGCCGCCATTGCTCGGGACCGCCTTCCCAGCACCTTCAGCACCTCCATTGAACCGTTTACCGAAGCGCATTGGCTCACGAAACTCTGCTCGCTTGCCAATGGAGTTGCCGTTCATCTCCTGCGAGCTTTCGTGGAGTGACAGCATTGAGGAGGGCGCATTGAAGATGCTGTTGGAGGACTTCTTTCCAAAACGCATCGGCTCTCTCAGATCTCGCTTAGCGAGCTCATCGAAGAGAGCAGCGGCGGCGGCGGCTGCCGCAGGGTCTGCAGATGCAGGGGCGGAAGCGGACTTTTTGCCAAAACGCATTGGTTCACGGAAGTTGCTGGCTCGTTTGCCAAAACGCATCGGTTCTCGGAAGAGACACCGTTTGCAAAGGCTTTCCTCATTTCGGCGGCAGATGCTGCTGCACCGAGGTGACGCCAGAGAGGAGAAAGCGCCCTCTTGGCTGGAAAGGTGCACCAGAGAACAGAGGGCAATGGTGACAAAAAGGAGGGTAGTGAAGAACATCGGATAGCCGGCCCATGAAGAGGAGCAGGAGGTGGTGGTGGTGGGAAGATTCAAGTGGAACTTACTCATCGTTGCTTTGTCTTGAGTGGTGCCCTTCAAGTGAGTTCAAGTAAAGTGAAGTGAGTGCTGAATGGATTTTAAAACGCAGCTACCGGTTGCTGAGAGTAGCAAAGAATTCCGGCGGTTTTGGCAAAATATGATTTAATAATAGTATAATCAAATTAAATGCCGTCAGTTGAGTGGTCGGTTCATTCTGCGACAGAAGTTTGAAGAACAACAAAGTAAACACAATCAACAAAGTATGATTATGATGCGGTAAACAAAGTTTATTAAATTTCGCTGCAAAGTAGTGGAGAACTTTAAAGTTTAAAAGTTGACGAAAAGCTGAAGAATCAAGAGCAGCATCAACTTGTGCTCGAGATGGCACACCCGAAGACTTTAAAGCAAATGCGATGAATGCCGTTGAATATAAAGGAAATTTCGTTTGCCTGCCAGACACTGTTCCAGCAGCTTCTAATGGTTGTGGGAGGAGGTACTTCCAGAATGGAGCTGCGCCGAGTTAGAACCAGTCAGTTGCTGGCGCCTTCTCTGGTAAGCAACCAGAAAAGAGAGTGAGTAAAAGGGAGAGAAAGGGAAAGACAAAAAGAGAAAGAAGCAACACTGACGACGTACTGCCACTTCCTGGCCCCCTCTTACTCAAATGGAGCTACCACAGCTAGCCCCCATTCACTTTTTAGCACACACACTTCCACGTCGTCGGAGTTTTAGGGCAAACAAGGTCTCTTTATTTTTTGGTGCGCTGGCGGTGATGGAAGAAAGAAAGTATGGCTAACTTGAAAGAGTGAAGCAATGGAGGAGTAGTTGGTGGGGGTAGGGAGAGGAGAAAAGGGGCTCACTCACTCCATTGCATTCGCTTACTATGAATTTCATTGTGTAAAAGTGTGAATGGCAGGAAATGGTTTCACTGGCAGTAATTACCGACGTGTCTAATTGTCAATCCACAGACACATAGTTGTCGCCCACTCACACACGCACTCAGCATTGGGCCCTACCGTCAGCAAAAACATTAAAAAGGCAAAAAAGGAAAGGCCACAGTCAAACACACTTGGATGAATCGAATGTTTCTCTCTTTTTGACCCATCTTTTCTTTTGTAGAGTAAAGTTTCCCACTTTTGGATTAGCCATTCTTTTATCCAGTCAACGGCTAAACATCTCCATATGCACTCAACTCTATTAATTCTACTTTAAACCCGTTTCTTTTTGCTTCAATTAACTAAATTAAAGTGTTGCTCCTTTGCAAATTCCATAGCTGATGCTAAATAGTTTTTTGTCAGTTCCGTCTGAGCAGAGAACATTGGTAAATTTTGCAATTTTTTCAACTTTTTTTAGTACAGCAACTGAACGTCACCAACTGAGGGCTTTGTTTTTGAAGTTGAGGTCGGAGAGGCGATTGGCTAATCTGCCCCTACCAAGCGACCGAACGACCGAGCGACGTGGCAGCCTTGGCACGCCGATGATATGTGTTCTCTGGAAATGCTTCTCATTTGAGCCATGATGATTCATGAGGAAACCTGTATGTGAGACGCACGGCTGAGTTGAGCTGCAGGTTAAGGTAGCCGTTTTCCGATGATGTATTAGGTCAACTAATTACTACGGGTAAAGCCAGAAGGAAAGGCCAAATAGGTCTCTAGTTTAAGTAAATACCTGCGCCTTTGTTTGGGGCAAATGAAATTAATAATAACATTATAAATTAATGCTATTATTATTAGATAATTTAATACACAAAAGCAGTGAGCCTAAAATACCAACAGAGATCAGGCAATCAACCGCAAGCCCGCTAATATCGATCTCGGCAGTTGCTTTGCTGGCTGAACGGGAGACAGGGCATACTCCTTCTCAATTTTGAGGTTTCTTGATCTACAGGCGACTACAGGTTCAGTATGACGCACCTCGACGGTGCTGGTTTGGCTAAATGGTTGCATTCAGATCAGCCTAATTATAATTAGATTGACGACGACTGTTTACTGGTTGCCAGTGCCGCCGCCGCTTGAACTGCCGGCCATCGATTTCAGCCTTGGTTGTAACCAGTCGCCTCTGGCCTGCCCAACTGTCAACAATACTACTAAACTCTTGAGGTAAAACAACTTGCCTTCACAATAGAAAATGCCCGACACTACACAAAGCAAAGCACTTATCTCGGAAAAGCATTGATTTTTGGGGCAGATTCAAAGTACTGCAGTAGCAGAAATAACTTATAGAGAAAAACAAAACAAGTGCAACTTTGAACAACAATGCTGTAAGATCAGCGGTAAATGAGTCAATGAATTAATTTTTTTCTAAGATTGAGTGCTAAACTGTCTGCTATTTTGTTCATTTGCAATTACCAAATCAACAATTCGTTTCCATTATCCCGAGAGCTCTGATTGTTTGAGGTTAAAAATAAAACTTGATAGCAATTACTTATCTCAGCTAGTGAATCAATTAGGTGCAAACAGTACGGATATCTCTCAATACCGAAATAGAAAGTAACTCTAGGTGAAAAGGCTAAAAGTTTGAAGGTCAGCACAGAGGAAAGACATGCAGCATGGCAGACAGCATCAGGCAACATTGACACCAATTACAAAGTGTGAGTTAATTATGACCAGTATCTAATCGATGTCACTTATTTGTCGTCCACTGACTGCTTTCTTTTGCCTTCCTTTTTTTCGCAAAGTCTTTCTATTTCACTTTAGTCAAGTCATCAACACTAGTCAGTGCTCAGGAAAAATCCCCTCAAGTGCACTAGGATGCAAAAGTCATAGAAAACAGCAAAACTGACACAAAACTGTTTTACTTTTATTAAGCCGTGATGATGGTAAATATTCTGTCGCTGTCATTATTGTCGCTACTAGTACTGCTGGGTCAGTTTAGTAGGTGTCAGTGTGATGATCACCAGTTTGAGTACCAGCAACTGGCCATTTTTGAGATGCCCTCAGTGAATGAGTTTGATTTAGCTGAGCTAAACCTCTACAACAACCTAATCTCGTGTGTGGCCAACTTTAAGCTGCAGTTTGTCAAGTGCAACAAGCAGCTTCAGCAACTTGGTGAGCAAGATGACTTATTTTAATCCGATTTATTTATTGTTTTTCTCCATAAATCAGCTCGAAACATCTTTAGGGTGCTACACGAGAACTCCACTTTGGGAGGCATCATCAAGTGCTGCGGCGTCTGGCTGGCTCGGGACTGTTGGATTCGCCAGGCTGAGGAGCACTGCATCGAGGCCCATGTCATTGACATGTACAAACTGCCTTTCAAACTGCTTCCCAAGCTGGACCAGTGGTGCAGTGTCTACCACGACCAAACCTTTGTTTGCCTGCTGCCGCACTACCTTCCAGTTACTTTTCTGATCATCTCAATTGTCACCACTGTGGGCGTTCTCTGGTACGTGGGCTGGAAGCTCAAAAGTAGAACCAGACAGAGGCAACAGCGACATTCGGACAGCAGCTGCAGTAACAGAAGCAGGCGACAATCGAACTGCAAAGAGTCAAGCAGTTGTGGGGAAGATTGCGCCTCGGCAGAACAACTCAACAGTGCCGAACCTGAAGCTGCCACTGCCACTGAAAGCAGTGCCAATGAAAATCTTTTAGATCAAAACCAAAACATCAGTAGCGACAGCCATTGAGGCTCAGTGACACTAGCTGGAGCTCAAACGTTTACATTTTGCTGGCGACAAAATCACAAATATTGGCAGAGGTACCAAGCTGATTCGAAAGATGGCGAGATCGCTGCACCAAGGACAACAAATCAAATTCACGCAAACTCAATTTTGTGACGCTATTGCTAAACTTCAGCAGCAGCAGCAGTGCTCTGGAAAAAGTCTTCAACTCGTGAGCGTCACTTACTCGTGGACCGTAATTAATCATCTCAATGTAAATATGCAGTCCAGTGCATTCCTTCATATCTTCCTGTCCACCTGTCTCACTGAGCAAATGTTTTATGGACATGCCACGCAATAACACTTGTGCTAACGACATTCAGCACGAAACACATTCAGTTCGCTTTACTCCTTCCTGCCTCTTTTTACTGGCAATTTGTCACTGGTGTGTGTTCTACTGTAGTAGTGTACAGCTTACAAAGGCAGCCAGAAAAATAGCATCAAATGCAGTAGCAGCCACCGCCATTTATCTGCTAATCAAGTGGAAATGAACTGAAATGTGAACTGCACCGACAATGAGGCACACAAGGGGCACTCAACGGCTAAACTTTCTGGTGGTGGTGGTCGCCCTGATGGTGCTACCAAAAAGTGCTAAACATTTTGCTTGCCTGCAAGCACATTAGCCAGATCTAGAATGCCATCATTTTTTTGCTGCTGTTTCCGTTGGCACTCTTCGTGCAATCATTGACACTTTCCGCTGTGACCAGTGGGAAGCTCTCAGGTGAAGCTGTGGTGAAGCTCCTCAGCGGCTAGCAGTACTGCCGTATTAAACAAAGTTTAGTCGGAAACTGATGAAAGAGTACTAGAAATGAAAGAAAGGGAGTCTCTGCTGAATAGACAGAGAAAGAACTAAAGCAAAAATCCATAGCTAGCTTTGTGTGCCAATTGCTGCTGCAGCCGAGTGAAGCTGCAGTCAGTCACTGTGTGAATGGTGCCGTCAGGGGAGACTTTCTTTTCTTCTCTGGTTTATTATGATTATATAGCTCAAATGGTCTAGTGGATGCAAACACAGGCACAGTGTAGTCACTGTCTCTAGGGTGACCAACGGCAGCCAGCTACCACGCTGACACCAAAGCATTAGAGCACCAGCATTGTCAGGACAGCGACCAAGACTACCAGCAACACCGACGCCAACTCCAACACCAGCAGCAGCGGCAGTGGCAGCACCCTTTGTGCGTTGTCGCTTTTCGGCGACAGGCATTCAGCAGGGAGGCAAACAAGCACACAAGCAGCAGCGGCACTGGTGCACTGAAACAGAGCCAGTGGCTGCCAACGCCACAGCTGCAGCAACGTTTAGTGGTCAAAGTGAGAAGCAGCCAATCAAGCATACTTTGGGCACTCTTTCTCTTGGCGAATTCTTTTGCTCTCTCTCCCTCTCTGCTTCACCCATTCCATTGGGCCATGGTCATGTCTACTGACTAGCACTGTCCGCGCCGATAGTCCTTCAATGCCACTCTTGCACTCATTCCACTGACTTGAGCTGCCTCTTTCTCTCTATCTCTCCCTCTCTATCACCCTCCGTCGCCGGTGCATCTTGAGCAAAGTCTGTCGGTCTGTCTGTCTGGTGCTCTTCTATTCTCTCTCTCTCTCTCTCTCCATTCTTTTTCTCTTCAGACGAAGACCCAAAAAGAAAGGGCTCCCAAAGGAAACTTCTTCCAGTGCTGCTAGTCACTGCCTGTTCCATATAGCAGTCTGCCCATTCAGTTCTTATTTGATCATCCACCTCCACAAGCACTACCAGCTATTTTCGTCCTTATTCCAATTTCATTATCGATTGCCGCTGCTTTTTTCTTTCTTTTTTGGCCATTCAAACCCACATTTTAGGCAGCAGGACTTTTTCCACAGGACGATATTGAAGCCTGTTCACTACCCTCAATTCATTTCCGTTCACCTCGTAAGACAACCCGTCGACGCCGTCTATGCTCTTCTGTGCTATTCTCTCTGGTTCTTTGGTCCCAACTTTAACTCTCGGTGTCTACTATCGCCATTCAACTTTGCCCGCTATATACCCTAACACACGCACGCAATTCTACTCTTCAGGGGCACTCGGAAAAGAAAGCAGACAAGCAGACAAGAAAGCAAGCAAGCAAGCATTCTCTTTCTGACCTATTCTGACTTTTCTCTAAACTAACACACACACACAAACCGACTCACACACTGACACTCTTTACCTCAAATTGTTTTGGCAGTAGCTTTTTAATTTAGCTGAATAATATTCCAATTGAGCTCACTCCACTCATCAACTTTGTCAACTCTCCGTCTCGTTTTCTCAACTGGCACACTTTTATCTTCTCTCTGCAAGCATCTACTCTTTGATAGTGTTCACTGCCGACACACACACACACACACACTGACTGACTATGGCGAACCGCTAATTAAAGTGGGAAACTACTAACTCAATTGAGGTGGTGCCGAGTGACCTGCTCACTGGCTGCTGCTGTCGTACAGCAGTGTTGTACACTGGCACTGGCCCTCAGCTCCTCCCATCTACTTCGCCACTGACTCGCTCATTTATCGCCGACCATCTGAGCCATGATTGAGACCACCAGTCTGCACAGGCCTCATTAGGCGCCTGATCGCCTGCTGCAGCTGTCGCTGGTCCCACTGACTCTCCTTCCATTCATTCAGCTGCATCCTTCCACTGCGACCATGTCCCCTGTGTCTTCCCTGCTGGTCAGTGAACAGCGACACCAGCATCACTGTCGCTTCCACCGCCATTGCCCTTCCAGTCATCACCACCACCACCACCACCACCATCATCATCATTCCTAGCCATGAGACTGCATCAAACGACAGTATATCCTCTTCAGGTAAGTGATACGTCTTTTTTCTTTGTTGACTCCTTGTCCTTAACTTGCATTTTTCCTTCCTCGATGCGATGTTTTTGGCTCTTTATTTTCACCCTTCAGAGCTTCGTCACTTGACCCGTGACCACTCTCCATTGCAATAATGGTCGACTGCGTGAAAAAGTACTTTTCACCGCGCCTTCTCGACTACATCGCCATCGTCGGAGCAAGGTCGCCTACCTCCTCGCAGTCAGTTCAGCTACCTGAACTGCTGCGACGGTACCCGCCGGATGACCACAAGGACTTTCCCCTGCCGCCCGATGTGGTCTTCTTCTGTCAACCAGAAGGCTGCATCAACTCCAACGTGCGGCGACTCTCGCAGAGGGACACCAACTCATTTGTCTTTGCTCTCACCGAGAAGGACACTTCTCGTGTTAGGTACGTGCTTGTAGAACCACCCCATTTCAAGAAACCTCTGACCTTCATTTGTCCCCTTCCTTCACCGCAGATATGGCATTTGCATCAACTTCTATCGACGCCTCGAGTTGCGCAGTTCGGTGTCCTCGAGGTCAGAGGCCGATGAAGATCAGCAGCAGCAGCAGAGCAGCAGTAGCGGCGGCAGTCAGAGCGGCGAGAAAGGACCCCACAAATGCCTTTCCCTCATATCTCTTTGCATCATCTCCCACCATCCATTCTTCTCCACCTTTCGAGAATGCTTAAACATTTTAAAAAAGATCATTTACATATTCAGCGAACGCAATAGAGACAAGAAACACCGCAGGTTGGTAGCGGCTGTGGCTTGCCCATTGGCGGTTTGTTTACCTTTTCCACCATTTGCTTACACATTTGCTGCGCTCTCTTCCCCAGGGACCTCGTGTGGACTTTGCTGACTACTCGAATTTCCCCCGAGCTTGCTAAAGTAATACCCGATAATGTGATCAATGACGTCCGCGAAATTGAGACTTGGTGTCTCAAGCTGCTGAGCGCTCCAGTGCCGATTCCGGGAAAAACCAAAGTTGAGGTAACTACTTTACAGCTACTAACAGTCTGTGGTGGGAATACAGAATAGAAAGATTGATGACCTTCATTTCCTGGCAGCTGGAAATTCTCAGCAAAGAACTTCGAGAGCCGCTGATGTTTGCTCTGCCTGATCACACTCGCTTCTCGCTGGTCGACTTTCCCCTTCATCTGCCACTTGAGCTGCTCGGCGTGGAGACCTGCATTAAGGTGTTGATGATGATTATCATGGAGCACAAGATTGTCCTCCAGTCGCGCGACTACAATGCACTTTCGATGTCAGTGATGGCCTTCGTGACGATGATTTACCCGCTCGAGTACATGTTCCCTGTGATACCTCTTCTGCCAACCTGCATGAACTCGGCCGAACAGGTAAGCGGTTTTGCTAATCTGTGCCATTGCTTTGGGCCACTTACCTTTTACCACGGTGCCTGTCCTTTTTAGCTGCTTCTCGCTCCGACGCCGTACATCATCGGTGTGCCCGCTTCCTTTCTCATGTACAAGCGGCACTTTCGACTGCCCGACGACGTGTGGCTGGTTGACCTGGACACCAACAAGATTATCAAGCCAACGGGAGCAGGCGTCGATGACCTTCCACCCTTGCCGGAGCCAGAGGGAACGACGCTAAAGATGCACTTCAAGCAGGTGCTCGCCTCTATGTCCATCACTAGTCCATTTCCGCAGTCCAATTTTCCTAGCAATAATCTCAATAACGCTGCCTCAACTCAAGTTAAAGCATCGGCTGATTTCAACCCTTTGACATATGGTAAGGGCTTTGCAGCTTGTCCGAATAACCTGACAAACATTGAAACACTTGTTTCGGCTCACAACAATTCAGGAAATGACGTCGACTCGGTGGACATTGCAACTCGCATTGCCATGGTCAAGCTGTACAACTCTCCCGGGTTGCTCCTCAACTTTAACGAGTTTACGCGCACCATTCGTCTCTTTCCTCGACCCGTAGTTGCCTTTCAGATCAATTCCTTCCTTCATTCACGTCCTAAACCTTCTGTCTTCCTGCAAAAATTTGTTCAAACTCAGGTACGTTTTACTGTGTGTACACTGACACAACAGCTGGCATAACTCTCTAACTTTCATATCAAAAACCAGGCGGTGGAATTTTTCGCCGAGTGGTCTTTGTATCCTAGCAATGTTGCCTTCATTCGAGTTCAAAACGGAGTGTACGACCCAGCAATAATTGGCGATAAGCACAAGTGGTACAGTCACCAGTTGGATGTCATTAACTTCAAAGTGTGGAACATATCAAATCCGTCGATAACGCAAGTTTACGCCGAGTTCCAAAACAAAGAGGATGACAGCGACAATGAAAGTGAAGAGGAGAGCGATGTCAGCACTAGTTCCTCCTTTTCATCGCTCAATGAGTTTGTCGAGGAGATGTGCAATGCGAGCCGAATGAACTCGCAATTTTTAGGTACTAGAAAAATATTTGTAACGCTCTGTTATATACTAATGCCTCATTTCATCATTGCACTGCAGAGTCTTTGAAAGATTCCACTACCTGTGTTCTAACACTATGTGATCATCGGAGCATTTTCTGTCCCCCCGATACGCTGCAGTACTCTAATATCAAGTCTAAAGCTGACTCCAAGGCTGATTCCACTGGTAGGCAAAGTTCTGCAAACTCAAATGCATCTTCCCCTACGCGATCTGCCTCCTCAAAGTCCTCCTCAGAGGATGAGGACAACTCGGACAGCCAGCACGAGTTTAAGCCTGCCTCTTTGTACGACAAAGACTTTCCTATTCCGCCTATTCCCCCTAATGTTGCCCAATTTGCTCAGCTATGTAAGTCTTGTTTCATTTGTTTCAGCGATTTGTTTGCTAGAAAACTGCATCTTTTTCTTTCCAAACAGCCAAAGTTAGTGAAAACTCCGAGTCTGAAGCGGACGACAATCATAGCTCATCGCTAAAAGAGTCTTCCTCAATGGATAGTAACAAAACTATCGCCAGTCACCCTTCCGCCTCTTCGTTGCCTAGTCAGAGAAACATTTCTCCCAGTAACTCACTGGACAAGTCCTCAGGCACCTCTACTCCAACGCTCTCAAAGACGATCTCCATTTCTTCCGTTTTCTCTCGATCTCAATCGCAACACCGGGACTCAATTGGCGGCTTCGGCTCCTCTCTGATCGATCGCATTACCACTGAAGCCAAGGACATGGCTCGAGAGGCAAAAGCGGCCGCCAAAGAGGTGGTCACCAAGCCGGCGGCTCAGGCGCAAAAGAAGAAGATTCTTGCCAATCTGCAAGCCATCAGTGAGCCGATGAAGGGCTCTGCTCGAGAGTTCTGGAGGTCATCTTCCAAAGACGAGCCCGATGCCGGCGAAAATGTGCCTTCTACTTCGCAGACACCGACGCAGACGCAAGTGCAGGTTGCGCCACCAAACAGACTGACAAACATGTCCAGTGATTTCAACGGATTAGCCGACAAGACGGCGGGAATGCTGTCGGGTTTCTTTCAGGGAGCGAAAAACTCCAATTTTGCAAACAAGATGAGAGAAAAAGCGCAACCTTTTGGACCTTTCCCCAAGGGAAAAAAGGGCGCACTTGAGAACTCGTCGCTAATACGACACTCGTCTAGTCAGATTGTGCAACGGTCACTCGAGTCAAAGAACCAGAATCACAGGTGAGATTAGTGCCGCTTGAGAATATCTTTAAAGTTTCGATTTTTAATCGAAATTTGTTGTTTCACAGTGAGAACCAGTCTTTCATCAAGGAGAATGTAAAGGCAGTCCTGGAGGGCGAGGGCATAGGCTGGCTGAAATTGAAGCGAATGAAGAATCTAATGGAGGATGAGCAGTACCGCGTTCTGGTAGTGCAGCGCATCAACAAGAACTTTGCACGAAAGATCACCGCCGATGACCACATTATTGACGTGCTCGTTACACGACCAGTGTGGAAGGGTTTGCTCAAACTGCTGAATGCCCTCATCTACGGACTCGATCAGAGCTATCACAGCTCCAACTCGAACGCCAGTGGAATGGCCTCTGCATTTGCCATTCTCGAGATGGCCCACACCATGTACTGGGAAAAGGAGGGCACTGGAGAGGAGTCTCAGGCATCGGTGGTCACCTACTCACAAGGTACAGAAAGACACACCTTGTTCATGTACAGTGTGTATTGAATCATTTAATTCCACCCCCTTTAGGCTCAACTCCCTTTGGCTCAAATGAGAACCTGTCGAAGCGAAGCCCCGAGCGTCAGGCAGTGTCTGACCTGGCGACCGAGTCAAGGACTGGCCTGGCCGTCGAAGCAGTCATCTCTCCGCCGGAAGAGGCAGTTGCGGGGGCCAGTTGCAGCAGCAGCAAGCGCAATTCACTGAACCGCGCCGCCTCAATCGATTCCGAGCCATCCGATGCATCGCCCTGTAATGTTTCCGATGCCGGATCGTTGACGGTAAATCCTGTTTTTGGCAACCGCTTAAGCAGCAATTCTTTTCGTTCTACGTGTTCTGATTCTGACATAGAAGTAATTTTGTTTTGTGTTTTGATTGACTGACTGACTGACTGACTGATCCTAACCCTTCCACCTTTCACCAGTCTCCTTATGTAGTTGCTAATCTCTATTTTTTCTTTATTACTTTTTTCAATAGGGATTGCAAGGCAGAACAACTCGAGCTCCCAGTCTGTACAGCAGCAAGTCCTCAGTCAGTGCTGGTTTTCGCTACCAAGGTGGTCTAATCTCCTGCATCGGCGGCATGGATGTGCAACGGTTCTACCTTTTTGAAGGCATTCTAGGTTTGTTCTTTTCCCGTTTGCTGTTTAGCTGTTTACTCACTCATCAAATTTCTAAACTCTTGAGCACAGGAAGCAATAGGTCAAATTTGTGGGATGATATGCAGTTCTGGGAAGACGCCTTTCTGGACGCAGTCTCGCAAGAGCGTGATTTGATCGGCATGGACCAGGGGCCAACTGAGATGATGGAAAGGTACCGCACTCTACTGGACAGTGACAAGAGACGACTGGAACAGGACGAAGACCGACTGTTGGCCACCTTTCTCTACAACATGACAGCCTTCATGGTGATGGTCAATGTCAATCGGACGGAGATTAAACGAAAGTGCCGACGAATACTTGGTAAAAATGGAGTTGTCTGAGAATAGCCAATCCTGACTGAACATTCCATTTCTTTGTCACCTTCAACAGGCAAGTGCCACATTGGCCTGAATGGGTCTGCAGACATCAATGAGATGCTGGACCAGATTGACTGTCTGCACGGCAACGACATTGACTTGAAGCCGCCAGCCAGTCGGCAGATTCACCGTCAGACCTTTTCAGTGCACATCGGCACCGATGCATCCGGTGACATGCTCTTCATGGAGGTGCGTGATGATGGCCTCATACTGCGCTCAATCAACGGCACCATCATCGAGCGATGGTGGTTTGAGCGTCTAGTGAACATGACCTACTCGCCGAAAAACAAGGTCCTTTGTCTCTGGAGACGCAATGGCGAGCAGACTCAGCTGCACAAGTACTACACACGCAAGTGCAAAGACCTCTACTACTGCATCAAAGACGCCATGGAGAAGGCGGCGGCCAGTGGCGGTGGCTCAATGCCAGGTAAGTGCTAAACAGTTTTTGAGAGAATGTGTGTCAGTGTGTGTAATGACCACTTTTCAACAATCACTGAAACTAGGCACTGAACTGGGAGGAGAGTTTCCTATTCAAGACATGAAAACCGGCGAAGGTGGCCTGCTGCAAGTGTGCATGGAAGGCGTCGGATTGCTCTTTGCCAACAGCAAGGTCAGTTTTCTTTTTTTCTTCATTCAGCTATCAGTTTAAGCTAAATGACAAACAAAAATGATGACAGTGTTACACAAAGTGTCAGCAAGAGATGCCAGGTCTATTTGATGAACAACATCAAGCGGAAGTACTACTTTTGCTAAGCTCAGGATTACGCCAGTTGGCAGTTTATTTTATGTACAGTAATTTGCAGCTCTTTATAAACACAATTCTCGCTAAGGACCTCTCAAAACTCTCTTGCCTTTTGTTTCCATTAGCGCAATGGCCACTTTTTGCGTAAAAAGCAGCTTTGTTTATTATAAATATTCTTTTTATTGTTATTTTGTTTACTTTGGAAATCAATACTTGGCAGTGCAGAGTAAGGACAATAACTTCAATAGAGAACACTTTGCGTGCTATTGATCGATATTAAAGCCAAAATCAACCGATATGATTTCTTTTGAGTACAATGGCCTTTTTCTCAGAAATAGCTCCAATTCAAACCGCCAATATCATTAACTGCTCATTAATTTTTTCTCAATCATTTTATTTTCTCGTTTGAACATGACCTCCTTATGAATCTATTTACATTATGTAGCTCATACTAATAATGATACTATCTTTGCTTNAGCCAAAATCAACCGATATGATTTCTTTTGAGTACAATGGCCTTTTTCTCAGAAATAGCTCCAATTCAAACCGCCAATATCATTAACTGCTCATTAATTTTTTCTCAATCATTTTATTTTCTCGTTTGAACATGACCTCCTTATGAATCTATTTACATTATGTAGCTCATACTAATAATGATACTATCTTTGCTTGGTTTTGTTTGACTTGAATTGGACCTGTGTGACAGTGCTTTCACTTTCTCTTCTTCACCACACGAGACCTGCCTGAGTGTGTCGGGCCTGGTTAACTGTTGTTGCTCCCCTCGACAATAATATCTATTACATTATTCTCTTTTTTATTTTTATTGTTTCCCGAATGTTATGTGTCAGAATGTTGCCAGAATGCATTGTTGACTGTGACTCGAGGTGCAGTGTTGACTGGCTGTTTTTTGCTGATGACGCCCAATCTGTTTTAGGGCGTCATTGTTTCCGGTGATCGGCCACGGAAACGAGACGGTCAGTCCACACTGCGAACGCATTGATTTGTGTGTCTCTAGCTCGCTCTCTCTCTCGCTCTATTTCTCTCTCTCTCTCTCTCTCTCTCTTTCTTTCTTATTTTTCCTCTTATTTCTATCTATCACTTTATCTATCTTTCTCAACTTTTACCCTTTTACTGACTTTTGTATGACTTTTCTTGCTCTGTCAGCCATTTCCAGCCACAACTATCAAATCTTTCCAGCATGACCATTAAATGACCGTTTTGTGATCGTTTCCGACTTTCAGTATCCTTGCCTTCTTTGCCTTCTTTTTTCCTCCTTTTTTCTCGCTCTTTTTGGTTGTCCTTAACTGCCTTTCATTTCTTTTGTTTTTCCTTGGTTGGCTGAGTTGCATTTCCAAGTAGTGACACTCCCTCCCCCAATCCAGGGACTTTTGAGATGGTCCTTAGTCAGGCGTTCTATTTTGTTCACTTTACTTTAATTTGTTAGACATTTATGTTCTCAGTTTTTATTCTTCTCGTTCTTTTTTTCTGCATCTGAAGGCGATCTTCTACTCGTTCTCTTTTGTTGTCGTTGTCGTTGTTCCCTAGCCGAGAGAGCAGTTCGTTGCACATCTCGATTGCCCAGGGCCTTCAACTTAGATCTTAAACTTTTTTATCTAGTTTTTATCTTTTGTTCCAACTTTTAAAACTTAACTAGTGGAGACACACTCACATAAAACACAAACTTTGCTTTCAACTTCAAATCAACTTCCAATCGGCGTTCTGACTCTTTGACTAACCGTTAACTTTTCTGTTTCTTTCTTGCCCTCACTATCTTTCGTGATTTGGGAACAAACACCCTCGACGGCTCGACCAATCACGACTACAATCATGACACTAAATGTCTGACACTCGATCGGTATACTCTACCCAAATGGGCTTGACTCTTTCACGCGGTCGCCCTTTCACCCGTTCCACCCAAAATTGATGGCTTTATGCCGGCCTAAACCATCTCATTTTTCATTCTTTCTCGTTTCGCTAACTCTTTCTCACTCTCTTTCACTTGCATAAACTTCATCCTGCCCTCTCAATCTAGGACTTTGAGGTACAAATCTCTCTCTTTCTTTTTCTAATTTATTTTTTTATTATTTGTCTCTACTTCCACTTGTTCTTTCTTTCTTTTCTTTTCCGTCTTTCCATGCAATGTTAACCTTTCGTTTATTTTATTTTTCTTTTAATTTTGTCTATACCGTTTCAATTTTATTTTGTAGCAATTAGTAGCTTTTTGCTCGATCTCCGGCAACATTCAAACATATGATTTCTCTCTTCTTTTACATTTCTGTTCGCTCTTCAGCTCAGACGTTTCAGTTCCACTAGAGTGCAGTTTTTTTCTTTCACTTGGCACCGACCAACAAACCTCTAGAGCTTAGCCTTTAGGGCCTAGTCTAGTGCACGACTACAACTTTGGCTAGAAAGTACTACTGCTACTACTACTGCTACTACTACTACTATACCATTACTACCACGACCACAATCGTACAATACCCCATATCGCTTCTACCGGTGAAAAGTCCATTCAACAATCTTGCCTGTGTCACGCAACCGATTGTGCTTGTGTGCCAGTGATGGACGATTCGTGCAACCGTAGCGTACCTTGATGCCGTAGAGCTTTAGGTACATTAACTGCAGTAGTCGTACTACATACCAGTTGCCATCATGTCTTGGTACTAGCGCCACTAGTCTCTCTCTCTCTCAGTAGTCGTTAGTACCAACGCCTCATTAGATTGCCAACTTGTTCATGCCCAGCTGGACAAGGTGACATGGTGTGTGTGGTTGTGAGTCAGTCAACAGCTGGTCCGACCATCAGCTGATCACCACGACCATCATCACCACTATCACCACCACTTGACCCTCGACCTCCATCTTACTTTCTTTTAGTGTGCCACAAGTCGTGTATTATTACCATTGGAGATAGTTGTTCAATTATCATTTACCACTACTTTTGAGTTATTCTTTTCAGTTCAGCTGCAGTTGACCATCTCTAAGGTTCTCGTAGTTGTGCTCTACTCCTCAGTTCCCCTCAGTTCTAGTTGCTTCTTATTCTTTCCTTTTTTGTTGTATCGGTAGCCACTTTTTCATTCAGTTTTTTGAGTTCTATCTCTCTATGTTGCATCTTACAATCTACAAGTTGATCTCAACATTTGTAGCACACTGCTTTAAGCCGCCTAGTTATGCCTTGCTTACCTTTTCCTCCTCCTCATTTTCTTTCTTGCTGCATACCTCACATGCTTCAGCTGCCTGTTGATGGAATGCCCAATTGCTTATTTGGCTTGTGTTTGGTTTGCTTGCATGTGCTGTATGTGTGTCAATTTTGCATGCTTGGCACACGACGTTTTGCTTTGCAGATTTGCTTTTTACAGTCTGCTTCACTTTAAACTTTTTCCCATCCTAATCTTTCTTTTTGTTTTTTATTTTATTATAATTTATATTTTTAATTACGAGTCACTTTTAAACTGGCCAGTTTTACTAACTCCTTTCCTACCTCTAGTTTTTCGTCCGACTTGAAAACATTCGCAAGTGCTACAATGCCAAGGGCGGCATGTTTGTAATTGAAGAATTCAGTAAGAATGCTCTTTTTTTCATTTGTGCATCTTTATCTGACCATCAACAACTAACTAGTCGGCTTGATTAAAAAACTAATACTTTTTCTTTTAACTTTTTCCGCATTCTTTAGACCCCAAAACACGTCAAATCACTCAACGAAAATATCGTTCTCAAATGTCCGATCAGATTTGCTATGCCGTTCTGTGCGTTTTTTCCTACCTCGCTGTGGGTTTTAAAAATCAACGACTACCAAACGCGCGAA